CTTCAAAGTGAAAAGTGATGCTACAAGATGGGGTATCGTCTACCCTAGGGCTGATGCTTGATGGCCAAGAATTGGCTGTAGTGGAATGTTTCACCTACTTAGGTAGCTGCGTTACAAACGACAGTGACATAGTTAATGAAGTAACTGCCCGCATTTCCAAGGCTTGAGCAGCTTACGCAGGACCATGACACCTTTGGTGCAGATGCGATGTTTCGTTGAAACCGAAAGGTCGTGTATACTACTCCATTGTATTGTCAGTTCCGCTCTATGGTTNTGGTAGATATTCCCCCTTCAAAAGTCTTCGACTGCCGGTTTTTGCGTAGTTTGGCGCGGGTTGGATGGGGCGAGCTTGTAAGCAACTCTGAGGTAAGTCGTCGCGTATTTGGTAATAATTCGATGGAGAATTATCTGTCCAATCGAATTCAGCTTAGTCGGCTTCGCTGGTTAGGACGCGTATTGCGTATGTCCAGCTGTCGTCTATCGAACCGTGCCTTATTTGCAGCTGCGACTCCAAGTTGGAAGAAACCGCGTGGTCAATAGATGACGTGGAAACGAGGTAGGAAGAAATACACAAAGTGATTAGGTAGAACAGGTGTCTCCCATCTTCCAGATTGGGGGCCGAAAGACTGCAACTGGCTGATTGAAGACACTGGAGGATATGGCGACTAACCGATAGCAGTGGCGTTCTTGTTGTCATTTCTTATCAGGTCCGAATGCTTGTATGCACACTTCGATTTTGTACTCTGTGTGTTGACCATAGAGGTTCACTTTCTTCGCCTCCCTCCAATTAGGCCTAACCCCTCTCCATCTTGTTCTTTATCGCGTAATTTGTGTGCATTGTGAGCATGACAACGATCAATGAGGTTCGCTTCATTGTATCTCGCTGTACGATTATGATGATGACGATGATCTACGATTCTGCATACCGGAGTACATTGCAAAACTTTTTGTCGTCCCACCCTCGATCCAGTTTTTTTTTGCTCCTGATGTTCACACCATCGACTCCAGTATCTCGGATGTTATCTCCCAAAATTTATCAACCAGGATCCCTCTAACAGTTCACTTACGCACGCGCTGGTGCCGTGACAGAAAAAGGTATTATATCTTTGTCGTCAATCCCGAACTAGGAGTTCCCATGACAATTAATTGCGAAACTAAAACATGCTTGATTTTTATTCAAGAAGCAAAGGACCAAATTGCACGTCCAAAAGCCGCAAAGCTGCCATCTTATCCAACCAGGTGGCAGTGTTCAGGCGGTTTCAATCGCTGTCGCCGACATGCTTTGTGCTCTAGGGTTCAAGGTTCAAATCTCGCCATCGCCACCCAACTTTGGTGATAGACAGCTTCGCCGGCATTCGGTTTAATACTACACCTTGGTGACTTATGTGGCTCCCAACCTAAGTCCCTGAGCATGGGTTACTGATTCCCATTAGTGAATAATAGGTCTTCGTGGCTATGGCATTCATCCCATCTTCTGTTCATCACTCAAAGGTGTGCAATAGAAAAACGTTCTCCTGAACCAACCTCAACCTCACGCTTCACCGTTCGTGTGTCAGGCGATTCGGCA